GCAAAGCAAATCTGTCATTGATGGCAAAGTTCTTGGGGTTTTTTTGCAACACTCAGTCTTGTTTCTTTTTAATTGTGTGAATTTTGAGCTGCTGAAAGGCGCCAGATTTACCACCCTGCAGGCTTAGGGACAGCCTGGGCAGCACCCATCACATGCTGCTACCTGAGGGTGCCTCAAGCCCGATCTGGGGCCCACCTCTCAGTGGAGTAATGTCCCTCCTGGTAAAGAAGAACTAGAGTCATCTGGGATGAGTATAAAAGAGATTCTTTATTCAGACTGTGGGATACAGACAGACCCTGTGGTTCTCTCTGGCTCCCAGCCTGTACTGCCTGGTATCAGCGCACAAGGCTTCCTAGGGAATAGACTGCTGGGTATACTACTGGGGGAGAGGATAATTCAGTCAATGGGGGGGCCTCTTAGGGACAACTGCATGGTGGGTTGTAACCTTTCTACACCGAGCAGAACTGAGAGCCACCAAATCTACATCACACCAGCTGCCAACCAGCCTTCAGATTTCTGTCACTCCCAACTTAGGCTGGAACAAAAGCAATACAAGAGGATACAAGGCCCTATAGCCCAGAGGCAGGCAGACCTCCTTGACTCAAACAATTTCATAAACATCCAAAAAGATTTTCTCCCCATCCCCCCTTTCATCTGTATGAACAAGCCCGACACCAGGAGAAAGGACTTTGCAAGCCAACTTTCTGATCCCCTTAAAGCAAGGTCTGGCGACAAGCTGACACCACCGTAATTATAGTGTTGGGAGTTGCGATGCTGTAATTGATGGGGAGAAGCGCCATCAGTGTGTCATCTCCTTGGAAGAAAGTTGTGTTTAAATAAAGGATAAAGGCAGTGTCCTCAGTTGCATTGGGACTGAGTCTCCATTTGCCCTTCACCTCGTGCAGTCATTTACATCAGGGCAAAAGTGAGTGCAAGGTCCAGATCAGAACAGAGGTGTTTTGACACCCATTTTGCACTGGTGTAAATCAATATACATGGTGCAGGGCAAAGGTCAGTATCATTATTCCCATTTTACAGATGGGGGAATTGAGGCACAGAGAGGTGAAGTGACTTGCCCAATGTCACCCAACAGGCCATTGGCAGAGCAGGAAAGAGAATCCAGGCCTACTGAGTCACCGTCCAGTATTGTATCCACTAAGCCAAACTGCTTCTCTCAGCATGAAATGGTGCCTTTGACTAGGTGAGCAACACACATTTAGCGGGTAGCAGCCAAGGAAGGGAGCCTGTAGAAATGATTGGCTAAATCCCAGTGGGGTGTTAACGACAGTTGTAACTCTGCTGGAGTCTGTGCGGTTGCACCTGCTTAGACCAGGGCTGAACTTGGCCCTGTGCTCCTTGGGCGGGTGTGACAGACTCATGGGAGTTCAAGACGGACAATAACAATACATAGCTCTTTACAGAGTACTTTTTCATTCCTAGATCTCAACGCTCATGAAAGGAGGTCAGTATCGTTATCTCTGTTTTATAGGTGGGGACAATGTGCACGGGGTGAAGTGGCTTGCCCAAGGTCAGGCGGCGGAATAGAACCCAGATCTCGTCCCTAGGCCATACTGCCTCCCATAGAAAAAAGAACTGTTAGGGCCCATCTCCCTGTCTGTTGGAGGATTGTTCCCCCACCAGCACACAAAGGAAACCTCTCTAGCTGGGAGCGACTCAGAAGGGAGGGATATAAATCAAGCTAACGAGATTAACACAGATGAATAGAGCATGTCCTGTTGCACAGTCTGTTCCTCAGTGCTTTGTCTAGTTGAGTTTTAAGGGCCACATTCCCAAAGGGCCTTCTTAATGGTGCCTGCAATATATTTGCCACTACAGTCCTTTGCACATGCTAATCACATAGGGGCATGCTCAGCTATCCAACTGTACCTGCAGCTAACCAGTTTGGATACAGACATGCTTGGAAATCCAACAGGCAGGAAATAGAAATAGGAGACTATTTGAATATTTGGTCCTATGTGGCTCTAATGATGGTATGATTCATCCCTCTTTTAGTTTCACAGCCCTGCATTTTGACCTAGTGAGAGCATGGAATTCAGGTCAATCCTAGGCCTGAGAATTAGGACTCGGGTCTATTCCCAGCTCTTGGAGAGGAATGGAGTCTAGTGGTTAGAGCAGTTGGAGCTGAAAGTCAGGATAACTGGGTTCTATTCCCAGTTCTGGGAGGGCAGTGTGATCTATTGGTCAGGGAGAACAGAGACTAGCAGTCTGTTCTTGCCTTGCCCACTGACTTGCTGTGCTACCTTAGGTCAATTGATTCTGTTTACCTTTCTGTGAAATGGGGAATAATGATTCCCACATCATGTGCGCTGTAGGGTGAGCCTTAGTGGTTTAATGTTGGTGAAGCTCATTGAGACGCTCCGGGGGAGGGCTAGGACATCTTTATTGGGGAGGCCATATTCCGCCTTTGCAGAGAAATGGACTTGACCCCTGACCTCCAGACTGAAACAGGCAGACAGTATTGATCCAGAATGAGACCTTCCTGCCCTTAAGGATTCCAGAGAAGGGGATGGAGGGGCTGGCATCTATTAAGAACGGGCTCTTGGTCTCCTCCAGACTCTCTGTCCTTCCTCTTCCAGATCTTCTCCTTCACTCTGTAAACGTGCTCATTGTTTCCCATTCATTAACACCATGAAGGCTTGTCTACACTTACATTTTATAGCGCTCTAACATGCTGGCTCAGGGGGGGGGGTGAAAAATCACCCCCTGGAGCGCAGCAAGTTTGAGCGCTCGTGTGGACAGACTCCAAGCGCTGGGAGCCGTGCTGCCAGCCAGCGCTCGGAGCTATTCCCCTCGTGGAGGTGGATTACCAGGAGCACTGGGAGAGCTCTCTCCCAGCGCTCGCACGTGACCACACTCACACTTCAAAGTGCTGCCACGGGAGCGCTTTGAAGTTTCTAGTGTAGACGTAGCCTTAGACTTCCACGTCATTTGCAGATTCAGAGCCTCCCTTTCTCCAGGATCAGCCTCTCCCGCCCCTCCCTTCTGCCTCCCTCTTCTCCACAGCTGCCTGGCAGTGCAGCCTCTCTCAAGCATGTCTCCTTACAAAGCCAAGCAAAACGTAAGAGCTAGCAGCACCCCTGGCACATCGGAGCGCCAGTCTGTATGGGCAAATAGCACCCTGCAATGGAAGCTACATCAGCAGGGACAGGTATTGAAACGGTGGTAGCACAATAAGCACAGGCGAGACCTATCCCTTACTCCATGCATAAACGAGGCTCCATACTTGTATGCTCTTCCATGCTGCAGGATCCCAAAATGTTCAGCAGACTAGAGGCCAGATTCTGATCTCACTTATACCAGTGCAAATCCAGAGTGACTCCTCTGAAGTCCGCAGAGTTACTCCTGTTTTATACTGGTGTCACTAAGATCAGAGGGTCCGATGCTTCTCTCATGGCATTTTACACTGGTGTAACTACACACTGACTTCATTGTAGTTACTCCTGATTTACCCTGGTATAAGAAAGAGCTGAGGATCAGACCCATCATTTGGCCATAGCTGTCTCTGACATAGCTACAGATGAAATGATATAGATTAATATCGCTACGATCTATCTGTGATTGTAAACTTTTCAGGGACAGGGCTTTTTGTCTTTTGTTCTGCGTTTGTACAGTGCCTATCATGTTGGGTTTCTGGTCCCTGACTGAGGTTCCACAATATAGATAATATTATTAGCAATGGTCATAATAGAAATTGATTACATGATAGATTAAGGGGCTGGTTCTGATCTTACACCAGTTTTGCATTGGTTACTAGAGTTACTCCCGATTGACACTGGCATGACTGAGGTCAGAACCAGGCCCTGTCTATCTGTCTAGGTTACATATACAGTCCCCATAAGTGTAGTATTACAACCTTACCCCTGTATCTACCTATGACAAAAATAAATGATGCCTTGAAATCCTCCCCAGTTCACTGACCTGCCACCCTTTATATCTGATCCTCACTGTATGTGAAGCCTCTCTAACTGAGATGTGCAAAAGGACCCTCCAGGTGACTGAGGGTCCAAGCTATCAGCTGTGGAATTGATGAGAGGACTTCCCTAGCTGGAGTTCATTCCCCTTGTCCTCCCCCACCCCTGGAGGTGGCTAGCACTAAACCATCTCTGCTCAGGGATGGTTTTTATCACTGCCTCTACCATGTTTTTTCCCATTTGACTTCTGGAATGTACCAGGCTGGACCAAAGACAGTCAATTTCCCCTTGATTTTCCCTATAAAGACTGGCCCAGACCCTCAGTTGGGATAAAGCAGCATAGGCCATGGAGCTCTGGCTGTTTGCACCCTTTAAGGATTTGCCTTTTTGCATCCCCTTCCCATTTGATCAGTAAAATAAAAAAACCAAACCGCGGCCATGTCTCTTACCCCCTTCATTCCAAAGGGCTCCCACCAACTTTACCATCCATTAGAAACATCAGTTAATACCTACACAGCATGAGAGAGACACAGCCTGCAATATATTAGCGTGAGATCAAAGGAAAGGCTCTCTCTCCCCAGCAGTCAAGGGGGGGTGTGCCCACCCCTAGCTCCTGCACCTTCCCGGCATCACAGGCCGGCTCCCGCCGGAGCCAGACGAGGGGAAAGATCTTCGCTTTCCCCTCCTGCCCCACCCTCCAGGCTGGAAAGAAGAGTGGCGAGGGAAGCCCAAGGACTGCTGCAAAGAGGGGAGTGTCGCTCTTGACCTCTCCAAGATCGCAGGGAGACTTCCGAGGAGCTGATGGCTGTAGAGACAAGGAGGAGCTGTCTCGCTCTCTCTGCTCTCATCGAGGTGTCTGAACTGATCAGTAGGAAAGGGCTCGCTGAGGGGAGCCCAAAGCAAGAGGAATGTCTCCTACCAGCTTCAAATCAGCCAGGGACTCAGGAGCGGTGGGGTGAGGCCGGGGGGCGTTGCAGGCATTGGGGACCTTGCAGTCTGAAGCCACGCTTCCCTCACGGTGGGACAGCCACACAAAGCTTTGTAAAGTAAAACAAACCCGCTACTTACCGGGTCTAGCTCCTCGGAGCCTGGGTCTCGCCGGCTGTCGGGCTGCAATTTCGGTAGCTGCAAAATTAATAACAATAAGAGTCAAGAAAGCGGAGTGGACATGGGCCGTTTTCCCGGCGGGGTGGGTGTGTGAATGTGGGGATCTGGACGGAAACATCTTTCTGTTGTGCATTTCCAGGGCTCCCCCCCGATGCTGCCTGTCTCTCTCCGTTCTTTGCTATAGTTCCCCCATCGCTTTTCATTGATGTTGTTGTTGCATTTCTCGGTTAATTGGAGCAAAGGGGGGGGGGGTCAGGAATCTGGGGGAAGGTTTGGAAAAAGGGGAGAGGGGTTAAAAAATCCTTGAATAGTCTTCGAGCCTTCCCCGAGCTCGATTCCCAAAGAGATGCTTTGGGTAGAACTGAAGGAGCAAACCAGGCAAATCTTAGCTGCCCTTCCACCACCCCACATGCAACATCTCCCCCCCCACGCAAGATACTCAGATACTCACAGCTGGCGTTGAGGGTGCTGCTGTTGTAAAGGAGTGTGTGTGTGTGTGTGTGTGGTAGCCAGCTGTGTAACACAGAAGGAAGGAAGAAAAATAAATGGAGTGCTTTCTAATGAGATCTCCTTATTGTGCTCCTACTGTAAATTGGACTGGGAGGGGGAGGGCTGAAGATGAAGTTGTCTCTTCTTGTCTGTTACAGTTTCAGGGAGGTTATTTGGGGGCATCCAGACACACACGCTCCTTCTCTCTGTCGCTCTCGCATTCTCGCCTTCCCTCCCCTAAGCCCCAGTCAAATCTCTCTCTCTATATATGAATATATAGTTATATATATATAAATATATACATACATCCCATATGTGGGCAGCCAGGAAAAGGGGGGGGGAATGTGGTGGTGGAGGGGGGTCATATCAGGGCAGATGGTGTCACAGGATTGGCCGCTTGGAAAGCCGAGGGCTTTTCTCATTGGCCACGGGCCCTAAAGACTGATATTTTTTTTAGAACATTCACTTCTTGGATATCTAAGGGGGGGTTGCAGACAAGCTGCCAAGTAGCAGACTTTAACCCTCAGCCTGCCAGGCTGCAACGCGCAAGAAGAAACCATTGAGGATACTAAAAGCGGAGTGATTTGTCCCCCCTCCTCTTTCCTTTTCCCCCCCTGGGGCATGTGATTTTGTTCCATCTTTGCCAAGGACCCTCTCCTCACTGCCCCCTGGACCCCGCGGTGCATGAATTTGGGACATGGCTCTATGCAAAGGGACCCCGTCTTGTCCGAGTCAGGGTGCTGGAGTGTGACAGCTCTACTGGGCAGTAGTCTTGCCAGGCCCCCCTGCCTGCAGGCATTTGAATTCAAAACTGGACAAAAGGCTAGAAAATGTCCTGTAGAGAATGATCCCGCACTGGCTCCCTTGTCACGATGGGAGCAAACTGGTCTGTCTGGGCTAGCGCCTCGGCTGGTGTAAATGGACACAGGTCCACTGGAGCCCATGGAGCTCCACTGACTTACACCAGCTCAGGATCTGGCCCTAAGAAGGCGGGGGGGTGTTTAGGGTGGAACCGGGGGGTTGAATGAAGTGTAATGGGGTGAAATGAGCAAAGAGAACTTGTGGATGAATTGGAAAAGAAGAAGTGATTGAACAATCCGTTGGATAGTGGAGCTGGCTCCTAAAGGAAGGCGTGGGACCACCATCCACTGGGATGTTTAACCCTAGGCTGGGCAAAGCCCCAGGGAATAACAAGCCTGCCCTGGGCAGATGGACTGTTCTGCTTGATTCTATGCAGATGACAATCAGGAAATTCCCGTCTGCAGCTTGCCACCCCTCCCTCCCGTGGCTCACCCTGCTGTGCTGGAATCTGCGGCAATAGGAAGGGCCAACTTCTGTGTCAGTGACAATGACAGTGTACATTGGGAATAACTCCAGCAAAGTCAATGGGATCGCCCGGCTTTACACCGTAGTCACTGAGATCAGAGTCTGGCCCTGCACTGATGCAGCTACTCCAGTAAAATCAAGCCCCCACCCGAATTCACTCCCTAGTTCATCTGGTCCTACCAGTAGTGAAAAGGGAGGTGTGGGGTTTTTACCACTGTGTACCCTGCCCTGCCTGACCTGCTCCTTCCCTTGCGACATCAGAACTAGACTGCTAGTGAATGTACAATAGTCAATAATCTTCTACCAGCTGAAATAGAGGAACGGGGGCAGGGGTGGGGGGCTTTCCATCTCTAACGTCTATGATTATGTTTATATTAAATCTGGATAGAAGATGGTTTATCATATATGTTATGGCAGCACATAGATGCCCCAGTGAGGATGGGAAACCATCTGCACTTGGTGCTGGACAGATGCCTACTGCTCCCCGCCTAGAGCTGGGTCAGGCGTTGCTAGAACCAGACAGGACACAGGCAAGGGGCCTGATTCTCCATTGCCCTGCCCCTTGTGCAGTCATGACACCAGGGCAGATTAAAGGAAAATGCTACCATTCTAAACCCACTTTGCACTGATACAACGGACAGTGAGGCCCGTTGCCTTTCCCAGATCTGGAGAAAAGCATGTGTGTGTGGTGAACGTATACAGGGGGAGAAAGGAGGGGTGCCGAGGCCCTTGAAGGAAGGGGTACCTACAAGCTATAATGAAGGAGGCTGCTTTGGTGAGTATGGGATGGGCAGGGTTCCAACTGAATCCTTGCATGTTTATAGAAACAGTTACATCCCCTCCCCCCTACATAGAGCCTCCCCTGGATCTGGAAACCTGCACATTATTCTATGAGTCTTTAATTATTTACTACCTAATGACCCACCTCCTGGGTCTCCAGTGCCAGCAAGACAGAGTAAATAATAATTATACCCTTTCCAGGCTGTTATCCCCCACACTCTGCCCCCTCTCACCCTCTTATTTCCTGGTCAGGTCTCCTGGGGAGCAGGACTAGAGAATGAAGCAGTCTTGGGATCTTACCAGCTACCCAGGGGATTGGTGGCCCCTGTGACTTCCTGACAAGCCAGACAGCCTGCCTCCATACCACCTTAGTCTGGGATCTCAAAAACTGAACAAACGCTAATCAGGTTAACTCTTGCATTGAAAACTGCCAGGAAAACCCAGGGTCCTGAAAGGAGCAGTACTGCTTCTGAGTCAGCATTGCCCAAAAGCCTTAGCAAGAAATTAGGGGCACTGTACTGCCGGGAGCATTGCGAGGTGACTGGGTAGGGGGCACTCTCTCCATGGGGTCAGTGCTGACAGTAATGTCTCAGAGTGGGGCTGAGTACTAGGACCAAAGCTATAACGTGGTGTATTGGTTGTCTACCTTCCAACATCCAAGCAGAGGACAATAACTTTGGAGCAAATTACTTCTCTATGTTCACCGGGGCATTGGGAAGTTGAATTAGCTCAGGACTGAGCTGTGCATTGAAGATAATCGTTTTCCTTTCCCTAGCACTTTCCATCCAAAGATCTCAAAGGGCTTTACAAACATTAATTAAATTAACTTCACAGTCAAGTCGTGAAGAATCATTATCTGACTCTGAGGCACTGAGAGAGGAAACAATTTATCTAAGATCCCACAAAAAGTTTGTGCAAGACCTTGGAATAGACATCAGGATTCCCAGTCCCTGCTGCTCTAATTATTAGATAGATAGATAGATGGGGTGTGTGGGGATAGATAGATAGATAGATAGATAGATAGATAGATAGATAGATAGAGGGGGTGAATGGGGATAGACAGATATTGAATGTTTAATGTTTCCCATCCCCAAGAATTATTAGACCAAACTCCATCCAGGAGTTCTGATTCTCAGCTCCACTGCTTTAACGATTGGATCCCGCTCCACACCTGGAGCTCAGAACAGAGCCTACAAGTCCTGACTCAGTATGGCAGAGTCTATGAGGGACAGTGGAGCAGTGTTCTTGTGTCCCAGCTGGATGAAATGGGCAAAAGAAATCTCCTGAGATTATCATGCAATATTTCTGCCATCTTGAGTCCCCCCGTGCTCTAACCATTAATTCATGCAGCACTACCAGTAGAACCCAGGAGTTCCAATTCCTGACCCCGCTCTAACCACTAGAACCTACACTCCTCCGCTGGGAATAGAGTCCATGAGTCCGGGACTCTCCCCGAACACAATGGAGGCTGAAAAGCGACAAAGAGTCCTGTGACACCTTATAGACTAACAGACGTATTGGAGCATGAGCTTTCGTGGGTGAATACCCACTTCGTCAGATGCATGTAGTGCAGTCGCTGGAAATTTCCACTACATGCATCTGACGCAGTGGGTATTCACCCACGAAAGCTCATGCTCCAATACGTCTGTTAGTCTATAAGGTGCCACAGGACTCTCTGTCGCATTTTACAGATCCAGACTAACACGGCTACCCCTCTGGTAATGGGGGGTGAGGAATTTTGAGTGGTGGTATAACTAGACGGAATATTTAGTATGAACGGACGGACAGGAAATATTTCCCATCAGTGAGAACTGCTTCCCTCAGGGAAGGAATGAAAGCTCTACTGCTTGGGACATTTCAAACCAGCGCCATGGGGAGTAGATTGTATAGATAACCCTATTCTGGCTGCTATCTAGTCGTTAGGCTAACATAGTCTAGTATATAAAGCACTGGACTAGGACCCAGGAGACCTAGGTCCTGTTTTTGGCTCTGTCTCTGGCCTTGGCCAAGTCACTTCTCCTCTCCATGCCTCAGTTTCCTCTCCCATTGTTTCCCTGACAATAAGCTCTTCAGGGCAGGGACTGTCTCTCTCTTTGTGTACAGCACCCAGCACAATGGAGCTCTAATCTAAGCTGGGAGGCCATGGGCACTGCTGTAATATGCATAGTAATAGAGACTAGGCCTTTTCCATCTTTTCTATGGTTGTGGTTGTGTTTAAACACCAAGCAAATCCCTCCAGAGGGCTCATCTCTGGTCTCTCCCTCTTAGACCTTTGTATAGTGGATTATTCCCCCCTCCCCCACGAAGGAGATTCCCCATGGACAATGCCACTGGAGAGCCAGACAGAAAGTCATGTCAGGGATGGGTACATCCCACAACTTCAGAGCCATACTTGTCCTGCCCAACACTGCCCTCTGCTGGGTTTATACTCCTGACAGCTCCCGGATGCCTGCAGGCAGACTCGGTGTCTGTCTTCTTGGGCCACTGCCGGCCACAAAGCCAGCTGGGATGCTGGAGCTACTGAGAGCAGCAGAAGCATGGAAGCATGAGATAATAAAATTGTTGTTTGTAATTTTTATTCTCTGATTTTAGTGGTTGCTCTTCATATCCTGCTGAGGGAAGGGAAAACGGGGACCTAAGTATCCTCATCTTCTACGCTGGTAGCTCCTCTGGCCTGTCCTCCACAAGTGAGTCTAGAATCTAAGAACCTTAAAGTATACTGTGTTGACACCTAAACTGCTACTGTAGCTCCAAGGTCTCGAATTCCCTTCCCGAGGTACGCCAAGAATACAGTAGCTCTGATCACCGATCACCAGTCCCCAGCCCCAACCACCAGGCCACATTGCCTCCTTTTCAGTCGTATGCGGTAAACACATTTCAGCTGAAAGCTGAATTTGATGCACCAGTGAACAACTGGGACACTAATGCTTTGGTCCAGTAAGCCTGGCATTAAAGAACAGGAGCCCCACTGGGGATGGATGGAAAGTTTTAGCAGCAGCCAGTTATTCTGGAGTCGTGATTTATTTCATATTACAGAAGAACAGTGCAGATGCTGTAGGTCAGCTGGACAGCACTAGCATAGATCTGCTTGGAGTGACTTGTTACTTGCAGGAGAATAATGAGCATCCTAAATTCTGTTCCTCGCTTGGGGGAGTGTTCTCTAGCAGCTAGGGCAAGGGACGGGGAATCCAGACTCCCTGTTTCTATTCCTAGC